GACTGTTCAGCTACATTAGTAGCTGCCCTACTAAGGGCATCCTTGTAATATCTCATCCTTTAAGTTAAGTATAAATTATAATGAGGGGTTGGCGGCTAGGGTTTATCTAAGAATCCTAGTTGATTTCCTACTCTTTTCTCCTCTTTTCTTCTCTACTGCTAAAATCTTCATCTTCCTCCTCTTTCCCTTCACAAGAAATTCAACTAAATCTACAATCGATGATTTCTACTCCTATCTTCCTCGGCCATGAACAGGAAGTTTGATCAAAAGGACTTTTGATGTCATCAGGTGTCCACCTGCACTCAAATAAGGAAAAAATCCATTCCCAAATGCCAACAACAAAAGGACAAGTGATAAACAAATGAAAGCAAGTCTCACTGCTAGCCTTGCAAAGAACACACCAATGTGGGGAAAGGCACCACTTTTTCCTCTTCCTTTGTAGCCAATCAAAGTATTTATTCTTTTGTGAACAACTTCCCAACAAAAAGCCACAATCCTAGGTGGGATAGTCTTGCACCATACCTCCTTGACAGGAAAAGAATGAAGGGGACTAAGGGGAGGTTGGGTTAAAACTTTGAAGAAAGAGTTATAGGAGAATAGACCCGAAGAGGAAGGTGCCAAAATTCTTTCATCAGGCTTATCATGATCAAGGAAAATTCCTTCAAGGTTTTGGAGTAAAGAGACCACACTATCAATTTCTGAATCCCTTAATCCCCTTCTAAATCCAAGGTTCCAATCAAAACCATTAATTGAGTTTGATGGGACTACGAAAGTAGATATGATGGGCTCATTCTTGAAACATGATAAAGAATACAAAGAGGGGTATAAGTCCTTCAAAGGGGAGTTCCCATGCCAGATTTGATCCCAGAATTTGATTAGGTTACCAGAATTGAGTTCATACCTTACAAGAGGCAAGAAACAAGGTAGAATCGCTTGCACGGCCTTCCAAGGTGAAGCTCTGGTAGCCCATTGTAGTGAACCAGAGTTCCATCCATTGTCCAATAGCCCATGTATGCTCACCACCACCCTTGCCCATAGTTTCTCTCTTTCTTTAGGCATTCTCCATAACCACTTCCCTAGTAGAGATAAATTTCTTTTTTGGATATTTCCTATTCCAAGACCCCCATACTTTTTATCTCTACTGACTATCTCCCAACACACCTTATGATCTCTTTTCTCTTCTCCTGGCTCCCATAAGAAATCCCTTATTAATTTCTCAATGCTCCTGCTTACTCCCTCTGGCATCTTGAAGCCTGACATATAATACACAGGGAGGTTTGCTAGGGTCGACTTTATTAGGGTGATCCTACCTCTTAGGGAAATGTAGCCCTTTTTCCAACATACCAGTTTCTTTGACACCTTTTCTACAACTGGATTCCAAAAGCTTGAGTCCTTTGGGTTGGCTCCTAAGGGTAATCCTAGGTAGCTTAGGGTGATCCTACCTCTATCCTCCATGTTTATACTTGCAATGCAACTCTTCTCGAAATTCACTTTTAAATTGGATAATTTTGCAAAGAACTGCACTATCTGCTTTAGGTTCCTAATCCATGTCACATTGTCCCCTTCACAAAACAATAGGGTGTCATCAGCAAATTGTAAATGGGTAACCGACGCCCTATCCCTCCCTAGTCTCCAACCTCTCAGTAGTTGTCTTGTATCAGCTTTTGTTATTAATCTACTCAAGACATCTGCAATGAGGGTGAAGAGAAAGGGAGAAAGGGGGTCTCCTAGTCTAATACCATGCTCTGCTTTGAAAAAATCCACCACTGATCCATTTATGAGCACCGAGTAGTGACATGTTTGGATACAACCCCATACCCATTTGCACCACCTCTCCCTAAAGCCAAAGTGACTTAAAACCTCCATTAGAAAGGTCCAATCCACCATATCATAGGCTTTCTCCATATCCGATTTGCAGACTATGCCCTTTCTTCCAGTTCTCTTCATTTCTTCAAGGCACTCAATTGCTATCAGAACTTGATCTGTTATTTGTCTATTTTGAACAAAAGCCCCTTGGTTAGAAGAGATGATGGAAGGGAGCACTTTCTTTATCCTCAAAGATAGCACCTTAGCTATGACTTTATATATACAGACCATTCACCAAGCTTATGGTCTGAAGTCCTTTGGATGGACCACTCCACCCCTTTTTGGCACCAATGCGATGAGTGTGGCATTCATACCAGGATTTATTACTCCTCTGTCAAAAAATTCATCAAAAACTTCCTTTAGGTCATCTTTTAATATGTCCCAACAGTCCTAAAAGAATTTCATGGTGAATCCATCTGGCCCCGGTGCCTTTGACCTATCCATAGAAAACACTGCCCCCTTGATCTCTTCCAATTCGAACCTCCTTTCTACTAACCAAATCTTGCAATCACCTGAAATGGTCGGCCAGTCCAATCCTTCTACCCATCTTTTATCACTTTGGGGTCTTTGAAACATGGCTCTGAAGCGCTCTGCAAAGATCCTTGCAATCTCTCTTTGGTCCTCTATAACCTCCCCTCCAATTTCCAATTTAGAAATAAAATTCTTGCTTCTTCTCCCATTAGCTAAGCATATTAAAACACTATATCTATACTTGTTTTCTAGATCTCAGGAAATGTATCCCTATTTCTTGCATCTGTGCTGCTGTTCATATCCGCATCTTGGCATCATAGCAAGACTTTATTTGCACAGAGAATCCCTGGGCCAATATTTAGGTCACATTTCCAAAATTTGAACCCTCCTGACTCTTAGAATTGGCCAACTCCTTCACAAGTTCACTGTCCAATCTCAATTCACTGCACCAAGATCTAGCTCTATATAAAGAGCCTCATCTACATCACTCCCCAGTCTAAACTTTGATCTGCCAGTCTGCTCTGATTCAACGACTGAGAGAATAAGTGTTGGTAGATTCACCTTGAATAGAAGATTCCCTGGTTTTTCTACAATGCTTCAATCAGTGCTTCAAAAGACCTGCCTTAGGCTGCAAGCTGGGGTACATTTACCTAGCCAGTTGTTATATTTTGATGAATCAATCTTGAAGTTGCTGTTTGAATATGTAATTTATTATATTATAGGCTGTATCTATGGTGTTTAAAGTTTAAACGGCTTAGGCTATGTAGGATTTGAATGTGCGAGGTTATGACCACCTTGCCAATAACATGCTCTAACCAATTGAACCAATAGGCTTTTTGAAGCATTTTATTTTCCTTCAGAATTTAGATTTGCATGTCCTTGTATATAAGTTTTTATTTTATTCTTTCTTTTTCAAAAGTGGCACCCCACTTCATTCATGCATGCACCTCACAATATGTCTTGTCCCTTAGACTCTAGGAATCCTTGCACTCTAGTTGCACTGCACTTTAAACATTGGGATTAATCCATAGAAAAGCAAATTTGTTATTCATTTGCTTATGTTTTCATGTTCTTTTCCTTTGTTATGTTGACTAGGTTGTTTCTTATGTTCAAGCAACATTAGTACTAATGTAATTCCTGACCAATTAAAAATAATATAGGAGGAATGCTAGTAAACAATGAGTATGTGCAACTCTTGGAGTTTCTTCTCCCTACAGATAAGGTGGGATTCATGAAAAGACATGTCCAATTTTGTCATGTAGTGTTCCTTCTCATGGATCCCACCATGTGATGTAGATATTGAAACAAAGAAAGAATTCGTGGAGAAATAAATCACTTTTCCAATTACCACACCAATTTCAGAATTTTGTAGTCATATGGATATTGGTATTTTAAAATTTTTTTAGATTTATTTTCAGGTAGTAGGTATCATAGGAATAGAGTTTCAAGTCTTAATTTGGAATAACCATTTATGGTAACTTTCAGGCTTATTATTTATAGTAAAAGCAGGTCTGTTGACTCTGTTCAAGTTTAGAAGATCCAGAACAGAGCCAGGCATTACCCAATTTAGCTTAGCAGCACCGATAAAGTGCCACCAAATCTTACAAGTTGACCGGCAGTTAGGGAATAGATGATTGACACTCGAGGTCCTGGTTACAGAAATCACAGGACTGAATTGGAATCTGCAGGCCTCTGTTCTCCAAGGAGACCTTGGTAAGGCACTTCTCCATGGCAGCTGATCACAGAAAGAATCCCACTTGAGATGGAACCAGACAACTCCAAATCATCCTGGAGGGAAAGAAAGGTTGTGGGGGCTTCTTAAGTTTCTTCCAAAAGATTTAACTGAGAAACATCCATTATTCTCCCACTTCCAGCATCATTCATCCTCATACCCCATTCCAATTCTCTGATTTGCCAGAACTTGGAGGAAATTGAACAGGCCCACCACTTCCTAATCTGAAAAATGACTGTTATTGTAATATTATAATGCCATAAAATACAAATACAAAAATATTATATGGTGCCTCATACAAAAAAAGCTGGGCGCTTGGGTGAGGCATCCCTTCATAGGTGCTCTCTACTTCATCACAATTATCCATCCTTAATCACCCAAAACCCTTCCACCCCAAAAAGGCCCACAACCAGAACTGGAATTTGTAGGACAAACTTATTGCTTACTACAATTTCTTATAAAATAGCACCAAAATAATGAAAGATACCATGTAGGGAAAAGGCATATGGGCATTGAGACATACCTGAAGTTATTGTGAACTGGTCTCAGGATGTTAGTAATGTTGTAACAAGTAGGGGGTTTTTCCCCAACCAGAAAGTACTTGTGAAAATGGGAACAGTAAGAGAATGAGAGGGTTATTTATCCCCCAAAGACTTGATTACAAAATTCTTTTTCATGACTAGCAACAACATAATAAGTTCTGTCTCAACATCAGCAGAGAAATTCTGTGTTGGGATAGTATGGAGCCCTGGTGGCACACAGCCATTGTCTTGGAGTCTTGATGTTGCCTCTGATGACTGTTGGCACATGCCAGCTACCCCTTTCTGACTCCTGCACTTTTATCTCCATAATCAGAAATATTCTGAAGATGCAGATAGATGATACAGAATACAGAGTAAACCACTGAAACTTACCTATTCGTTCAGTACCTTTCATTATAAAAATAAAATTAATAATAACTTATAATCATTAATAAACAGTCATAAATCACCACCTGTATAACAATTGAATACAGTGGAGGCATGTGGAGAGTGGGACCTTGTCTGGACATTGTAAATCGAACCTGTGATTATCAAAACGATGTTAAGTTTTAGTAACAAGAACAATGTAGGCCAAAAAATTATCAGTATTCTAGTTTGCACATGAAGGGTGAGAACATCTGCAATAAGCGTATGTTTGAATATCTCATGCTGAGTAAAAGAAATGGATGAAAATGGAAGAATAGTGACCCCATTCTCTCCCTGCTTCTGACATTAAACTGCATGTTAATGATATCCCAAGACGAAAAATATACAGAAGTTACCATCCAAGGCAATCATGGGAATATGCCCTCCCTCAGTAAACTCTGAGAATCTTACCTAGTTTATCAGTCATTGGCTTGAAAATTGGAAAAGTTCACAATTTCTTTTATTTTCTGAATTTTTAAGCCACAAGGAGAGCATTCATCAGCCATTTTTATATGGCTACAAACAACACATCAATTGCATAAAACAAAAATATTGAATATGCATCAAGGTGAAAGTAGAAAGTGGGAAGGTCAGCAATGCTGTATGGAGAAGAGGAGCAGAGTTATGGGCAGTCAATAAACAAAATGTCCAAAAAAATGAGTGTGGCAGAGATGCGCATACTGAAATGGAAAAGTGGAAAAACAGAAAAGAATGGGTCAGAATGAAGTCACTTGAAGGAACCTAGGAGTAGACTAAGATGGTGATAACATGGGAGAAAGTAGACCAAGATGGTCAAGTCATGTACATAGAAGACCATCTACAGCACCCATAAAAAGCAATCTGTTGCAAGTTGAAGGGGCTAGAAGGAAGGGCTAGGGGCAGACCAAAAAGGACATGGGTGGAAGTATTAAGAAATGATTTAAGCACTCATAAAACGATTGATACGACACTAAAAAGAACAGAATGGCGAAACAGGATTCATGTGGCAAACCCCACACGGTTGGTATAGATAAAGCTTAGATGCTGATGCTGATGAATGACAAAACTAAACCAAGTTTAATAAAAATGACGTAATTCCTCAAGGGTTGAATGTAAAAATAAGAAAAGAGAAGAAACAAGTGGAAGAAGAATAGATAGGAAGAGAATAAGAGGGGAGAGAACGTGTGAAAGTATGAACCAATCTAGGGAATCATGCCAATTCATTAGAAAATAAACTATTGGAGTAAATTACAAAAATGCCCATGATTACATAAATTCATCAATAAGATGTATATCCCTATTACACCTTAACACTCCCGGCTCCCCCTTAATCTGAGGATAGATATTGCACATGCCCAGCTTGTATAGGTTGTCTTGAAAGCTTGCCTTCTGAGATTCCTGTTTTGAAACTGACTGTGAGTTGGTCAGCTAACCATACAAATGGAATGCACAGATCCCTAGTAGATCCACCTCTATGTGTTTGATCCTACTATGTTGAACTGGATTATGTATGATGTTTATGGCAGTTTGGTTGTCAGAATAGCATCATTCGTCTTGTAAATGGCATACCTTAGTAAGAAGATTCTTCAATCATAATAATTCAGATGCTCCATGAACAAAAAACATATAAAACAAAGCATATACAGAGGCTTGTTATTGCAACTAAAACATTATAGTTGCTAAAGGGAGTCATGAACTCAACCAAAGAATCCATGACCAATACTGGTTGAGACATGTGCTCTGCAATGGTTCAATTGGTCAGTGTGTAATCACAAGATGGAAAAGACACTCTTGTCACATCTCAAGAGTCTTTCACCAGTTTGAGAGAGAGAGAGAGAGAGAGAGGTAGTCAAAGAACACTCCTTGTTTTTCTTGAGTGAGAGAGAGGTTTTAGTTCCCTCCTATTTTCTGTTTGAAAAGGAAACATCATGGGGAGTTGTAACTCCTCCAACACATTGGGGAGGTTGTGTGCAGTTAACCACACACTCCCTCGTAACACCCTCACCCCCCCCCCAATTCATTTCCGATACCTTATATGAAGATGCTTACCGTTGCAAATTGTGCCTCATAATTTCTTGTAAATGTTCTTTTCTCTTTAATTTTATTTCTTGTGTCAGCATGAATGGTGGACATTAATATCAGTAATATTCTCTATTATGTCTCTATCCTTGATGCGATGGAGGCTTTTTGTTATTTTCTGCTATTATGGACAGAAAGGCCATGGGTACTCTCATGGTACATTCAAAATATCGGGCACCACAAAACTCTGTGCATTTGATACAGTGTGTCACTTAAACACATTAAGCCACAATCTAATCCATTTCAGCAAGTAATAAAAGAAGCAATAATTAAGAACTTGACAACATATTTTGTTTAAGTAGTCAATCAAGACTACAGTCAGAAGAAGCAGAAGTACACAAGGGTTTTGAAAGGAGGGACAGATCGAATGAATCTGCCGCCGCCACTCTCTCAATATTTATATGTTATGTTCACTAATTGTAGGAAAGGGCAGAATTGCCCTTAATGCTTACATGGCAAATAAAACAAATAAAAAACTGAAATAACAAGCT